AACATTAATATATATATATATATATATATATATATATATATATATATATATATATATATATAAATATTAAATGAAAGAAATGTTCCCAACCACACATCAGCATTTAACGAATGCCTGTCTAATACCTGCCAACCCAGAGGAACGTGCGTCAACCTCTTCCATTCCTACCAGTGCAGATGTCAGAGATTTTACGCCGGCCTCAACTGCGAAAGATGTAAGTTTTAGTAAAAAAAAAAAAATTTCAATTTTTATTAATGTAAGTTATCTTTGAATGCGACTCATTTGTGATTAGATCTTCATCGACTATTTTTTGGCAAGAAAATTACAATAAGATTACTGAAATTAAATAAGAGACCATGACTAATCATCGAAATTGGTTATGAGGAAGAAAGTTGTGGTGCCTGTTAACATTCAATAATAAGAAAACAATGTCTGTAATTTGCTATCAGAACACTAAAAAAAATTTGAATTGAATAATCAATTATATAACGATTTTAAACGGTGAAACAGCGTTCGAATTTTATTTTCCCTCAATTCTGTTTTAATGGTTTTTGGTTAAATTTTATTCGATGTGAACTTTTTATTTCAATATAAATAGGCGCAACTAGTTGAGTTAATCAGCACAAGTTCTTTTTTTGATTGGCTAATTTGAGAAAAATAAAATAATTTGAAAATTGAATTATTTGCGAAATCATACATTTTTACGTTAGAAGTAAATTTTTTTTATTTTAATCGTCAAAGAGAGTTGGATGGCTGAATGATGTTTATGACGAAAATAAAATATCGTAACTTAATATGAGCAGAAAATTATATTTTGTCAGATATCTATTTGTTTTCCATCCATCTATTTGTTCATCCACTCATTCATCTGTCCATGTATTCATCCATTTATCTCTCCATCCATCTATTCAACTACCCAACCATCCATCCATCCATCATATTAGACTGCACGGTAAGATCCGATGTCGTAATAGTCCTGGATGTTTCTGGAAGCATCGGCTATTTGGAGGATTGGTACAACATGCTCATCTCCTTCGCCAGGGAGATTATCAACGGTCTGGATGTGGACAACGATGTGGCGCGTGTGGCCATCGTTGCCTACTCAACTGACGTCATTAAGGTGGCTGGCGTTTCTGTGTTCTAGTTTTTTTTTAGTTGAGAAAATTTATACTTAGTTTTGTAAGTTCTGTTATATTTATTTTGAAATAACCACCACAGCAGAAATTTATCACAAGACGGTCAAGCATACAAACAACATCCAAAAATACAAACAACATACAAACTGCATACAAACACACAAACTACGTACAAACATACAAACAACATACAGATATACAAACAACATACAGTATAGCTTCCATACTTGCACGTTTTATATGTAACTACGTTTTGTTTGTTGCTCATTTGTTTAAGAATATTTATACAGTGCTATTTGTAATCAAGAAATGTCATATAACTGCTCTCCAAACTGTACAGAAACATCATTGAGATACTAATTTTCTTCTTTTGTTGATAGGCTCAAAAACATTTATTATAATTTCAAAAACAAATTGACTAAAGATTTTTCGGCTATTTTTTTAAAATAAAAATAAGTATAAAAAATAAAAAATCCAACCGCAATGCCAAAACAACGACATCCATTCACGAAACAAACAATGACACTTTTTTCACCCCAGACGATTTACTTCAACCAATACATCGGCAATCGCACGAAACTCCTTGAATCTCTTAACTTCTACCACGATGGCGGCACCACAAACACGCAAGCCGCTCTATACACCGTGGCTAACTCCGTTTTTGACTCAAATCGTGGCTACCGCGGCAACGACAATGGCGTTCTTAAAAGCGTGATACTACTGAGCGACGGCGAGTCGAATGTTCAGGCGGAGAATACTGTACCAGCAGCTAACAACCTGAAGAGATTAGGAGCCAGAGTTTATTCCGTGGTTGTAGGGACAGACATTAATTATGCCGAAATGGAACGGGTCTCTAGCAATGGTTTGTTACTCTTATTTTAAATTTTCTGATTTGTTTTGCATTTTAATTTTTTTTGGTTGTAAGGCGTCTAATTGTTCATGATTATCGGGCCTTTACATATGAGCTTTCAAATTTTATAATTTATTGGTTCAATATTATGTGCTTAGTTGGCATGTTTTTTATGAAATTCTATTCAATTAAGTTTTCTGTATAATTGAAATTTTATATGTTAATTGTTGAAAACATTTTCATTGGGTTGGGCTCAGCTGAATCAAAAAATAGCGGTCGTCAGTCTATGAACAGTACCGAGAGGCATTAGACAACTACTAAATACGATCAAATTGAATGAAGTTATTTGATTAGACATTGTAAAAAAAATGACATTCTAAAAACATGTTTCAATACTGTGCTAGACAAACGCAAACAAACATTTAAACTTCTTCCACCATGGCAGCAACACTGTACACCTACCGCATGCCTTACGTATCAGATGTGGTAAGGGTCGCCTCCAAACTTCTGACCGACAACTGCGCTGTCTGAATGAACCAGCTCAAAGATACTTGGAATAAATTATTTCTTTTCCGAATAACATGTTTTTTTGCTATTTCACCATTAATTTATTGCTTATAATTTATAACTCATTCATATACCTAATACTTCCCCTAATTTTTTTAATTTTCGATTTTGTGAAATGAATTTTTTTAATATTAATCATGAACTATGTTGATATAAATATTCAATCGATTAAATTTTATTTTTTTATATTTTATATATGTGTATGTTTTTTAGTTCACCTTAAAATAGTTTACTCTGAGTGTATAACTTGTTATTTTTAAATTGAAAATTAAAATTTATTTATCGAAAAGATTAAAACATATCAGGGGTTAAAATGAGCGTTCAATGATATTAGTTATAATTGTTTTATTTATGAAGCATGTGCTGGTAGTCTCAACATGTCTTCTTCATGAATATGTGATGCGTATATTTGCGGTGCATATATACGCGTGTAACTGCTTAGCTCTGCGTGCTTTTGTATCCGTATGTTCATACGCTGAAATTAAAACGCGAATTTAAATGAACGAAACATTCATCCTAGTTTCCTGTTGGAACGAAGTGAAAATAAATTGAAAAATTATCAAATTTCTAATTTTAACAAAAGATCGTACATTAAAATGTTTATATTTGTTATGTGATAATATTATTTTCAATTTAATATTTTTCCAACGTAATTAACTCTTTATAACTTTTGTTACTCTATTTCTATATTTTAACAATCCTTTTTTATAAACAGGCTTGTAATTGATTTCAACTTAACGCATACACACATACACACACACACACCACACACACACACACACACATACATACACACATACACACACAAATACATACACACACATACATACACACATACATACACACATACATACACACCACATACACACACACCACACACATACATACACACACACACCACACATACACACACACATACACACACACACACACACAAAGCCAAATACGCACTACTCATAATCACACACTGATCTACGCGCACACACACGATCACATTTATATATGCACACACTCTTTTATGTGCTAATTAGAGACATTATTCATAACATTTAATGTTGATCATTAATAAAATATGTATTTTTTAACAAATTTTTGCTCAACATAGCTTAGGCATTTTAAAAATCTACTTTCATTTGTTAAGTTATTCGTTCATTAATTCTTTGGTTTATTAATTAATTAACTCATTCATTCATTTGTTCATTCCTTTTATTATTCATTAATTCAATTGTTCACTCAACTACTGTTTGAAATCATTTAATCTATAATTAGTTTTTAATGTGTATTAGCCTAAAAATGATAAGCAATCACACATCATTCAACTAAAAGTTTTGTGCATCCGTGTCTTCTTATATGATTCTTTATTGCACGTTTTTATATAACTTTTAACATTTTCTTTAGTAATAAAATATTTTACTTTAGCAGCTTTTATGTGTAATATTAATCACATACTACTAAATAAATATAATATTAATAACAACAACAACAAATAATAATATTAATTATTATTGCTATTAATTAAATAAATAATTAATTATTAAGTTGAAAATGCTATAAACAATTGACATTGCTGGAGTTTAGTGTATAAATATACAATCTGTGATTCAATAATATTCAAGGATAATTGATTTTTTCTTTCTCAATTTTTGGTAGTTCAAAACTTTTTTTTATGTTTTATAATAAGGATAGAGGTCTTGTCTTTAAATAAATATTTAAATTTATTCATTCCAGCTAATAATTTTAAATTATTTCTCATATAAATATATTGATAAAATAATAAAAGATTTTTTTTGATCTAACCAATCTAATTGTTTTAGTGTTTTGTTATATTAATATATGCTAGCTGGCGCAGTTTGGTTCTCATTTTTTAAAGTATCTGAGATCAAAAACTTATTACACAAAATTACCATTCTCAAATTTCTTTATTTTTTGTGGAATATTTAATATTCAGCAAGTTAAGTGTGCCTTGTGTGCCCGCGAGCTAACTTGCATTTGGAAGCATTGTGGAAATAACAAGCTTTGTTTGCATTAAGTATGATTATGCGATGCGAAGTATCTTCGAATAAAAAGTATGAGTTGAGTTATGCCGGTACCTACATGCACGAACAGCTTTGAAGCACAAATAATTTGTTTGTTTGTTTGCCAATTTGATTATATCGAAACTTGTTTAGAAGAAACGATTAGGAACATTGAAAACGTGTTTTGTTTTGCATTGTTTTCTCTGAGTAATATTCAAACATATGACAAAAACGATGTGATAGTTTGATGTTCATTTAGATAATTAATAGAAATGTTTAATTTTTTTCAAAACGAAGGTTTTTCTTCAAACTATGAACATAAAAACTAGCACTTCTTTTTCACGAAGATGGTTAAATAAAAATGATGAAATTAAGAAAAACTTACAATTAAAATAAGTATGCATTCAGTTTAGAATATTATAATTGTTCAAAAAAAATCAAACAAAATGAAATTTCAATAAAACATCTTCTATACTTCAAGATCATATACTTATATGTATAAGGAAATTACATTGTTTCAAATACTTTTCATACCACCTTGCAAACACTTCATACATTATATACCTTTTAGGCAGATCATGATGGCAAAGTATGTATTATATATTCAATGTTTAATGTACTGTATAATCGTGATATGGATGTGCTCTGAAACTCATTAAGGATCAGATTAAAATCAATAAATGAAGGAAAACACGGAGAACAATTTTCCGATCTTTTCAACAGTTTTCAAATATTTAATTAGTTTGTTTTGAGTTGTATACTTTGTTTAGAATTATTTGTATTATTACGTCTTTGATGGAGGCATTAGTGAATAGAGACTCAGAAAATGTACTTAAGTGTAAGTAATAAGTACCTCAAAATTGAGTACTTAGTATTTATAAGTAGAAAAGATAAGTACCTAAGTGCATGCCATTTGAAAGATTTATAAATTTATTTACTTCAGAAACCTATTCATCATTTGCAGTACAGTAAATGATGAATTGAATCAATAATCAACAATCAAACAAACAGTTCCTAATACCAACAATCAAAATAACGACATCGTCTTGTTTTACAGAAATCACATGTCAACTGCGTACAAAGTAGATGAAGCTATTCTTTAACATATCATCAATAAAAATATCACACCAACCAACCCATTGTAGCATTGTAAATAATGACAAAGAAGAATATGATGCTATCGATGAAGATGAACCAGCCACTAAAGAAATCTGACACCTAATTTCCATTTAAGTTCACTTTTACAAAGTGAATATTTCCCTATATAAATCAACTTGCATTGATGATGATTCATCCCTGCAGCATGAATTCGGAAAATAAATATAAATTTACATATATATATATATATATATAAATTTACAAATAATTTTGATGCGAATGTAAATAAGACTATAAAAAGAAATTACGACCATTGTGCTCGGTGGCTTAGTCCAGCAAAACCATTTCGTACACCAATGAGAGTCAATTGTATCGATGGAAACGTCATCGTACAACAATCCCCAGAAATAAAAAAGAAAGATAATAACTTAGCATGTGCGGAGCTTGAAGTTTATGCATAATTTTTTAACAAGGTCTTACACACATTAAATGTAATTTTGCTATAAAAATTTCCAAGATATTTCAACTAAAACTAACAACTTTCTTGACCCGACTTCTATCGGAAATACCTGATAACTAACATCATTATTATTTCGTATTTATTATGTGCCAATTTTCATTCAACTGTATACATTTATCGGATGTGATTAAGAGAGATAATTGAAAAATAAAATCTCGGTGATTATGAAAACTATTATATGGTCGGCCGAATAGTCGAGTGTGTAATTAATAGAACCACAAAAATAATTGAGTATGTTGGAACGTTTCGTCAGTGGCAATGACACTAACTTCAAAATAATCTCTTAGTTATTGATTAAATGTATGTTGTTTATCTTAAAGAAAAAATTGTAAAGTTTACTATTTGAAATAATAATGATTGAACGATTTAGATGCAGTGACTAATTTTTTCCTAAAATGAAAATGATTTATTTATTTCAATACTGACGCTAGAACTTCTTTTTGACCTTTAATTTTTTGAATTTCCTAATATTTTTAATTCAAAATTTTTGTCTCTGTTATTTGCCCTGATATTGATTTTATAAAATGTTTTGTTTAGTACAAATACTATATAAATATTTTATGGTGTGTTGACATTATTTAGTTGAGTTTCTTCTGTTTAAGATTATTCATACATATATGTAATTGATTAAATGTTTTTTGTTTGTTGATACAAAACTTAAAATAATAAAATAAAGTAATATAAAAATTTATTATTATTAACTACACCATTATTCATCAGATTTAGATATGAAGACGCTCCAAGCTAACCCAATTCAATCAATCCAATTTGCAAAACAGAAATTTAAGTAGGAATGTGAAACTTCGAAAGATTTTGTTTGTACTTAAACCGATTTCGAATTGTTTAGATATCCAGAAGAATCGTCAGACAAAAAATATTCAAACGAGAAAAAAGATAACTGTAGAACACAAAGAAAAAAAAAGTCTCTAATTTTTTGAAGGTATCGTTTTTATTGAAACAGTGAGACTGTAGAAAGACTGCAGCAATTATTTAGTTGTACGTGAATAAATGCATGTGCCTACATTTGTTTAGTAGATTTATCAAGATGTACGCAAATTGGATACAATCTTTGATGTTGATCAAACACGATGAGCAAAGAGTTTACAGTTTTTTCCATGACAATTTTGATTTCAAATACTACACCCTGGTCAACAGCATTCATACAAAATTCTGTATGCTGATCTCGGCCAATTGCTGCCAGGTCGCAGTTAAGAACTTTGTTTTCGGTTGATCCAGTTTTAACTATTTTGTCATCCACATATCAATTTCCGACTTGCATGTAACTTCGTTTTGTATTAACAATTGAAAAAGATC